CAAGCGCTCGAGTGCAAGTGGGCAAGGCCAGAGACCTACTCGCCTGACCTGTGCTTCCTGTGAGGGGACCCTTGGGCCAAAGTGCCTGACAATGGGCGGGGCGGGGCAAGACTGGATTTGGTAGGTGAGAGAACACAGGAAAATGCCCAGAAGATATAGGGCAAGCCACCTATTTCTGTAAGACTAAAGAATTATGAGGTTTACACTACTTGTTCTGATACACACAAAAGCTATTAAATTATTGTTAAACTATTTTGCAATTTTCATAGAGATGATCTGGGACTTTATAATGAAATAATGCAATATAGGTTAAAAATTGGGCACCGATGCCATCTAAAACACAGCAACGGAGCTCACGAACATCATGTGGACCAAAAGAAGCAGGTGTAAAAGTAGACCTACTACATGATCGCATTTATAACATAAATGTGAAAAGTGTAAAAACTTGCAAAGCTATTCTATGATGTCAGAAATTGGGCTATCCTTGTGGGGACGAGTGACAAGAATGAGCTACAAGGGGGCTTCTGGGAGGGGGGCTACCCTCTGGTTTTTTGATCTGGGCGCTGACCATAAGATCATGTTTGGCTTGAATATTCATCAAGCAATAGAATATTCATTTATGTTTTATTCATATATTTAATTTTATACAATGTTTATATATTTAATATACTATGTATTCTATATGCCTATTATTCTTCAATAAAATGTTTTAAAGTAATTTGTTCCAGAATTTTGAAAAGATAAGCTGAGGGTTAGTTAGGAACGCAAGAGCTGCAGCTGCCAACAAAAGGCACAGGCTGTGCGTGACCTACCGTAGACTCTCATTTAATATCTGAAGATAAAAAGGTAACTTTGAGTCTATTATTCCAAAGAGAACTCTGGAAAAGAGCACAGACCAGCGAGGGAGAAATGAATGACAAGATTGAAAAGGACACGTTCTCATTTGGCAAATCCCTTCGGAACTAAGATTGCCTTAAACACTTTTAATTTGATTTCTGAAACATAAATCGTGCATCACCGGTGATAATTAGACTGCACGACAGAACAAGGACCTTGTTGTTCAGAACCATCTCCACGAGGCCCTTCTGGGTCCCGGTCATCGGAGGGCATCCGTCACTGCCCGGATCTCCCGCCCAAGTTGGGAAGGGCCCGTGTGCTGGGAAACACGCTCACGTGAAGACTGACGGGAGCGGGCTCAGAAGGGGGTTTTTAGTTAAGTAGAAAGCAGGCATTGTACTCTGAGTTTCAATAAATCAGAATACAAGACTAGAAACCGGTAGTGCTTGAAAAATATTGCACATAGTACAATTTCTAACTACGTCTACCAAAATGCAAGCCATGCTGGCGGGGAGCCCCGTGCCGTGGGCGTGCACCCCAGACCTGAGCAGGTGGGTTCAGAGCGTGCCTGTTTTCACCAGGACGCTCCAGTCCTTGAGGCTAAACCGTGTCCCTCTTCCGGAGGAAGCCACTCCTAGCCCGGTGGTGACCTCACCCCACCAGGTCACCGCTTTGGTCACCTCCAGCACTCTGCAGGCCTCAGCCTCGCCCTCGCGACTTCTACCTTGGCTTAGCGGTCACATCAGTGTGGGATTCTCCTTGCATGCGCCCTGTCTTTAAGTAGACTCCAGGCTGCGTGGAGAGCACTCGTATCTTCCTTTTCCATGTTCTGTCTGGCACTCAGCACGGCATTCCCAGCTCCTCGCAGGGGTCCCTAACGTTGGGTGGCTTGATGTCACTCTGAATGTCAGTGAATTTGAGACAGCTCTGCAGCTACTGGCAGGTGGAATGATTGACATCCTCCTCTGCCTGACGGAATTTTATGACAAAACAAAGCCACTGTCGTGTTGCAGCAGGGGGACACAGCCTGGCTGCAGCAGCAGAGAGCATCAGCTCAACGGTCTCTGCACAGCGCGGCCGGACAGTCCCAAGCCCAGGCACACGTCCCGGGACGTCACGGTCTGGAGACGCAGACACCTCCTGCGGAAGCCCAGCGGGACCGAAAGGTTAAGCAAGGCTCAGCTGCGCTTTTATTCTAGTGGGAAAATAAAAGACAATTCTCCTCCCCAAAGCCTGGTCTGGAATCCAGGGGTTCAGCAGAGCCCCACCCCTGCTGGTCGCCGCCAGCTCCCCGTCGTTGCCCCTGACAACTGGCCGTCAGCGTGGCGAGAGATCACAGTTTACAAGGACTATATTCTCTATTTATTGCAGAAGAGATGCTGCTGTGTTTGCTCCTGGTGCATGAGAACTGAATGCAAAACGCTCTCCGGATTAGCCGCTGGGCTGGAGAGAGCTTCCTGGAGTGTCGCTGAGACCGAGGGGCTGCTCTCTGCCAGGCGTCGAGCCGAGCGTGGGAGACAAGGGTCCCAGGACCTGGTTCTCAGGCTTTGAGCTCCTCCTTGAGACCTCCCCGGCCGCCTGGCTGCCGTGGACCGTCCCTGTGCAGGGGCTCTGGGCAGCCACGTTAGCCCCCGTCTCAGCCACGTGGTGCAAGCCCTCGCGGTCTGGGCGACGGGAACGCTGACGTGTATTTTGGGAGGGTGTGAGTCGCTGCAAACCGTAAGACATCATTGCTTCCTCAGTTCCCAGGGGAGTCCCAGACAAGCACAGAGTCAAATCTCCAATGATCGTTTTCTACATAAAGCACAGCCCTGTTCAAAGAAGAGCAAAGGCGGGAACGCAGGCTCCGCAGATCCGAGGGGATCTGGTTTCCTTTACAGTCATTGAAAACACGTGGCTGCCAAAGGCCCCGGCTGTGTCGCAGCAGCTGCACAATCACGAAACGCAACAAGAACCCATCTCTGCTCACCCTCCGCCATCTCCCCCCACTCTGCTCATTTCAATTTCAACAGGTGAAGAGATTTTTTTCCTGTTCAGTCAGATGTGCTGTCTCTAATCCCGAGTCCAGATGCTCCAGGCAACTGCGGTCCATGCTCGAAGCAGTGCTCACTCCTGGAGGAGATTACAACCCTCTTCTCTTTGGTTGCAGAGTTGCTACTGCAACCTCTTCGACATTAGGCAAATTTTAACGGCACTGTAGTGTATAAATGGCCTGATTACGCTTTTTTTTTAAATACAACTTTCCCATCATTTTTTTTAAAGCTAACGGCTTAACTGAGATAAAATTCCTATATCATAAAGTTCACCATTTTCATGTGTGCAATAATTCAGTGTCTTTTTAAAGATGTATTAATAGTTGTGCATCGATCAGCACTATCATAGAGTATTTTCGTTATCGCCAAAAGAAATGTCATGCCTATTAGCAGGCATTTCATTTTCTCCCCATCTCCAGCTCTTGACAACCACTACTGTATTTTCTCTCTTTTTGGATTTACCTGTTCTGGAATCTTATGGTGTGTGGCTTTAATGTCAGGCTGCTGTCACTTGGCATGGTGTTTCCGAGGCTCATCCATGCTGTAGCCTGCACTGGCACTTCACTGCTTTCATAGCTGAGAGATATCCCAGTGTTTGGGCACATCACGCCTATTTATCCATTCGCAAGGGGATGGGAACTTGGGCTGTTCCCACTGTTTTGGCTACTGTGAATAATGCTGTCGTAAACATCCTACCCAAGTTTCTGTGTGAACATATAACATGTTCTCTGTTTTCTTGGAGTTAGCCAGGAGTGGAATTACTAGGTAATATGGTAACTCTATGTTTAACTTTTTGAGGAACTATCAAACTATTTTCTATAGAGGCTACATAAGTTATAGTTCTACTATTAACATATGAAGATTCCCATTTCTCCATATCTTTACCACACTTGTAATTTCTGTTCTTTTTCATAATTGTCTTAGTGGGTATCAGGTGTTTCATTGTAGTTTTGATTTTCATTTCACTGATGATTAATGATATTGAGCATCTTTTCAGATACTTATTGCCTATTTGTATTTCTTTGCAGAAATGTCTATGTAAATCCTTTGCCCATTTTTCAGTTGAATTATTTGCCTTTTGTTTTGAGTTGTGAGAGTTCTTTATATTAAATATGTTCTAGATACTAGAATTTTATTGTATCTATAAATCACAAATATTTTCTCCCATTCTGTAGGCTGTCTTTTCACTTTCTTGATAGTGTCTTTTGACATGCAAATGGTTTTAAGTTTGACGAAGACCAATTTATCTATTTTTTCTTTGGCTGCTTGTACTTCTGATTTCACATCTGAGAAACCATTGCCAAGTCCAGGTGCCTGTGCAGTCTATTTACTGAGGATTGGAACTTTGTTTTTTTGCCCACACAACAGCATCTGATATAATAATGAAAATGGTTGAAACAGTGATGTACTGTTTTCCCCGTGGCCACAATTTTTTCCTGTGATACCTCCTTAATGTTTACCTCACAGGCAAATGCTTTCTTCTCTCCCTAATCCCAACACTCTCTGGCTACTAAATTCTTACCCCTCCATTAAGCCCACTTCACATACTATCTTCTTCATGAACTCTCTCATAAAGGATTTCTCTCTCTTCTGAACTCCTAGTCTGTTTGATCTACTCAGTAGTGCATGTACACGCCTGTATTTGTTGCAGGTTTCTGCTGCAGATTTTAGTGTCTTTTCTTTCCTGAGCGATTCATGACTCTGGTTTATACTTCACTTCATCACGAGAACCTGATGCGTACCTTCTCCTTAGTGCAAATTCAATAAATGTTATCTTAACAATTTTCTTAACTAATCCTTGACACAATGCTCAGAAATTCCATACAATGTATAAAATTATTGTATTTATGCCACTATCTTCCAGTTCATCAAGCACAAACAGCAATTGTGAATTTGAACATACGCCAAGCATTTCCACCTCGTCAACAACTATATCAACAAATTCAAAGTGTATAAAATGGATGGTTTTTCAGTGAAATGATATTACATCACTTTATCACATGGCACAGTGATAATTAGAAATAGGGAAAAATAAATTATGTCATAGGCAGTGACCCAGAAACATTTCAAGGTGAAAGTATGTGCTTTCTCCCCCGCAGTAACTTGCTTCCCCGAGAACGACAAAAGTACCTGGCGTCAGCAGAATGACCGAGGTGACGATCAGGGAGCAGATGACCAGAATCACAAGCAGTGCGATCGCGATGCCCTTCCAGTTTCGCTGCGGAGGATTGCTTCCCACCAGCTCCTGAAACGACAGCAGCAGAAAAGAAAACCCGAGTGAGTGAAATAAGGAAACAAAATAAGCCAAATAAATATATTTCGTTTAAATCAAGGACAGAGCCCCAAAGCAGCGAAGGAGGCGCATTCCCACCCTTGAAGCTGCTGTGAGTTCCTCTCTGTGCCCAGAGCTCAGCCCGTCTCTTCCTCATACCCGTGCAAAACTTTGTCTCAAGAAAGAATCCGCTACGATATGATGTTTATGTTTTTTTGTGCAAACCTAATGCTCCTCCTCCCAATAAACCAGACTCCACGGCGCAGGGTAATCTTGAGGCTTCCTCTTCATTACAGACAACCTACTTGCTCCCATTGATTAAACCCACGTAGGATTAAATCTTTTAGACCCAAGTTCTCTCTCATCTTTCCCTGCCTTTGCAGCTACACTATTAACTTTTATTCCAGGCCACCACATTTACATATTTATTTAGCACATACCGTGTGCCGACTGTAATCAACCTCTACCCATCTCTCGCCACCTTGAGGTTTTTCTTTTTCTACAGCTCTTCATTCACGGTTTCAAGATTTTCCTCTCTCTTCACAGGGTGACTCACCCATTCCTATTCTAGGGTTTAGTCTCCTCTGTGGACCCTATTTGCACTGTAGCCAGGGGTTGGGGGTGTGGAATCTGCAGACACTGCTAAAGGATGCTAAACGCCGAATAAATCTAGAAAATTAATCAGGCATATTGGCTGCTGAGACCAAACTTTTTGTTCCCTTCAAATTAGGGTGATCATATAATTAGTAGTCCAAATTGGGATCCCTTGAGAGACAAAAGGGGGCAATATTAATAATAAATGTGATAGTTACATATTAATTATTATTAATGATACAGAAGCAAATAAGGACATATGGTCACACTAAAAATGGATGACTTCTGCCTAGTATAGAGCTGAGGACACTCTCTCACAGTGCCAATAATTGCAGCTCCTATTAACCAAGCCGTGATGAAGAAGAATGGAGCTGGCCTCAAAAACAGACAGTGCAATATATAAACACATCTTCATCCAAGACTGGAAGTTCATTAGAATGAACCAAATTGTTACAGATCAAGATAAAGACAATACTCACTTAATCATGGAATAGCAAACAGTTAGTATTTACCACCCAAATACTTGATATTGTACATATTAGTTTTTAAATTAAGAAAATTTCAGAGGGTCGGCATTGTCTTAGCAGGAAAGAGTTCTATACTTGTTTAGAAATTTTTGCCTGTCTTCCTATTTGCCATCTAGAACTTAATTTATCTATTAGAAAGTAGCTTTTTAGAACTTAAAAAATAAGACTAAATGAGGCATGAAATAACTACAAAAAGTTACACTAATTCAATCTCATTTTCTGTTAGACAAGGTTTTCTTTGTAAAGAAAAGTCATTGGCCAATACCAAGGACAAAGGATTAAATGGTACTGACTCAGCAGGTTTTCATCTCCCCCCCCCCCAATTCAGAAAGAAAACAAGCCCTTCTGACCAAATGTGTGAATAGTGTAAATCTTTAAATGGTACTATTCGTACAACCAGCATAGGATAGACAATTTCTCATAGACATCAGCTACAAGGAACCATCAAAACCTGTGTTTTACTATTCAAGACAAAATCTTATTCTATGTCCAAAATGACAAAATTAATGTTATTGTGTTCAATAGCTCAAACAATTGATATCTTTTGAATCTTGTTTCTAATAAGAATAATCTAGAATTCTTAATTCTGTTGCAAACATATCTATTATAGAATAGGTGCATCTCTCGAAGTCTATATGTAAAACAAAACATAACAAGGCAAAAAACCCTAGGACTTTTGCTTTGCATCCATGAGTGTAACTGATTACTTGCAAGAGTGCACTGGGGCTCATGCTGCAGGGACAGATATCTCCCAGGCCCGGACACACGCACAATACGATGCCCCGGTTTCAGGTAGATACTGTTACAGATAATGAAATAGAGAGTATAGTTAGAAAGATGACCAAAATAAGATGTTTGCAAAACATGTCACATAAAGTTGAAGAATGTGTTCAGCCTCAAATATCGAATGCTTAGAGTTTTCATCTATTTGAAGACATATCACACGGAAGAGGGAGAAAATGTATTCTGTGCAGCTCCCAACGGCACAGTTACAAGCAAAAGGAGATTTCACAGAGGCAGAATTGTGCATCAGACTTCACAATTTCTAGGAATCAGTACTACCTAATGATAGAATGGGCTGCTTCACCAGAAGTGGGCAGGAGGAGCGAATATCTAATAAGGGTTCCCGAGGCCAATCCTTCAGGGAAGAAGGTGGAAAGAGATGATCTTAAAAAATGCCAAATACAGTATTAATTCTGCAGACACACACAGGATGGAGAAGAAAGATGCAAAACCAAGGAAGTTGGTACTGCAGGTGGAGAACTGAGTGAGAGAGCCAGGATGCTTCCTGAAAAGGGACGAAGATTGTTTCCACCAGGCTCACTGGACCAATAAAGGATTTTCCATGAAAGATCCATTTGGTATGTATTATTGAATGCAAGAATGCACAGTAAGATAACCAAACAGGTGTTGACAGCATATCCCACTTTAGTGAAGTGATTCTGGGTTACATACACCATTTCTTAAGTACAGATGCATCATAGTGTCTTTCAGGCAGTATTCTTGCATCTAAAAAGCAGAGTAATTTTACCCACAGGAATGAAGACATTCACTGAATTCCATTTCTACTTGCCTAATTTCATTTTCCAAAGAGCAGGTAATTTTCTTTTAGCACACAAATAACATTCTAACAATAATGAGAACCAAAAAGAAGAAAAGATAAACCATTTTGTTAATCCAAGAAATGAAAATTTTTCACCTTTTTCTATATTCCTTTCTATTCCTGGTCTATATGCACATTTAATTTTTACATAGGTATGGCCACAGCAAAGACATGATTTTTAAGTTAGAATGCAGGCTAATATAATATGTGCTTCTTTGAACATCTAATTTGGTTCTCAAAATTCAGACTTCCTCATCTCAACTTCTAGAAGTTGAACTATCAAACACTTGAATAGAACTGACCCTGCTTCCCATCAAGGGCAAGAGAAGTCAATCAATTATTCCTTCAAACATTGAGTTTTAGTAGCACATTTCCTAGTAGAATTATATTTTTTGCCTAGAATGGTGAAAATGTGGCTATAATATATTCCCTATTCTGTCTGGTAGCACATGCATGCCTTAGAGGTCAATTAAAATGAAAAAGAATGTTTATAGTTAACCATTTTCTCTAAGAAGGAGAACAAATCTTTCATCCGCCCATCTGCCAATCCATCCATCCATACATCCATCCACATCCATCTATCCATCCACATCCATCCATCCATCCACATCCACCCATCCACATCCATCCATCCATACATCCATCCACAACCATCCATCCACATCCATCCATCCATCCACATCCATCCATCCACCCACATCCATCCATCCATCCACATCCATCCACCCACATCCATCCATCCATCCACATCCATCCATCCATCCACATCCATCCACCCACATCCATCCATCCATCCACATCCATCCACCCACATCCATCCATGCATCCACATCCATCCATCCACATCCATCCATCCACCCATATCCATCCATCCATCCATCCATCCACATCCATCCACCCACATCCATCCATCCATCCTTATCCACACATATCCATCCATCCATCCACATGCATCTATCCAACACATATTTACCTAGGGCTAACCCTGCCTGGCCCGGTTCTGTGAACCTTGGATATTGCAGACAATGGCACTGTTACCAACCCAAGACAAATGGCTTTCATGTTTCTTTCTTTTATTCTAGTGCAGAAAAGCAGGGACAAACAGCAAGCAGATAAACTCAGTAAGAGAGGAAGGAAATGGCAGGATGATAGGTTCTGTGGGCTGCTGACACCGAAGGAGGTGAGAGGGATCTCTCAGCAAAGCGAGAACAAACTGAAGGAATTATGCGGGGACGGCAGCTGGGAGAGGCGGTCGGGTGCCGGGAGCGCAGACACCCAGTCTGGAGGTGGCACACGCTTCAGCGTGGGGGTCAGCGAGGAGGCAGCGGCCAGAGTGGCGAGAGTGGGGTGACTGAGCTGAGCGAGGACGTGGGGGGAAAGGGCCAGGGAGTGCAGAGCCCGGGGGCCGGCGTTGGAGGGAAAGGGTTCGAGCCCAGCCGTGCACGAATCAGACTCCTGCTTAGGAAATCGCCAGGGGAGCTGCTGTACTGGGAACAACTAGGGCAGCCAGGGTGAGGATGGAGGGACAAGCAAGAGGAGAGAGTGATGGAGCCTTGTCACAGGTGGGAGTGGCGGAGGTGGAGAGAAGCAGTTGAATTCTGGGCGTATTACAGAAAAAATTAGTCAACAGTGCTATTCCTGGCAGATCACGCAGACCTAGGTGTCAAGACACATTTATGTATCCCGTTTGCAGTCAAAGTGCTCTCTGGGGCGCTAGCCGTTCGTTCCCAAGAGGAAGTCTGTCTTCCTCTCTAGCTCTAACCAAATCTAAGTCCCCCCTCCTGCTCTCGGCTCATGCCTTACTGCCCCCGGAGCAAGTCCTTCCCTTCCACGCCCTCTGTCCTCTCAGCCCCCCACAACTCCTATCTTCCCTGGGATCCCCCTCACCTTCATTTTGCCAGACAGACCTCTTTTCATTCTTAAGTTATCAGGTAAAATACCACCTCTGACATTTTAGCAAGCCTCGCCTTATTTCACAGGCATTATTCTTTTACCTGGATACAATCAAAATACTCAATCAGTGCTTTTCTGTAACATCGTCGCACCATTAAATTGTGTATGCAATGTTCCGTTGTTACCAGGCTGCAAATCGTTTAAGGACACGATTACCTTGCCGTGTTCAAGGTCCCAATGCCTGGCACAAAACTTGGGACGCCACAGTGCACAGGGACTGTGTGTTGAGGGAATGAACGCGTGGATGCATGCATGCCTTTATACAAAGTAACTTTTATTCGCTGGCATGTCCAGCA